CAGCAGAAAAGTAGTATATGTGAGCTGCCATTCTAAGATTTGGGCTCTTCATTGTTTGCTGATAGATTCTCTGTGATGGACGCCTCGTTTACATTCTGTAGAGTTAATCTCCAGAACACTTGCCCCAGCCATAAATAGAGATGGTTGCCTGCTCTCTGCTTTTCTAAGCAGCTAATTAGGTGTTGTGAAAGCTTACGTTGGTGAAAGAAGGTAAATTAGAAATAAAAAAGAAAAATGAGAGCAAATAAAAAAAAATGGACTTCCATTTATAGAGTTGTCTACTTGGAAACAACTCTAATTTTAAGATGCTGTTAGAAACAGTAGCAACCACCACAGTAATAGAAGAACACTACCCTATTTAAAACTATTTACAAAGCACAAATAAAACCATTTTGTTAACAGTCATTAAGCAGAGAAAACTCAAATGTCCTTTCTCCCATTGCCACTGCACTTTAGAATTTGCTCATTGATGCCCTGACTTAAGGATTTGGGTTTTCAGAATTTTAAGATACTGACAATTATTTCCTCATTATAAAACATTAAATCAGATGTGTATCTGAAACTCTAATGCTAGAAACAGTATGCGTGTTTTCAGAAGTACAGATATGTGGGCTCCCTGGGCAACAGGCAAGTTTGAAACTAAGGGAAGGAAATCCTTTTATGTTTGCTAATGTTTCCCTAAGTGGTAACAAGTTGCCAACTCTCTCTCTTCGGGTGGTGTAGTAATGCTTCCAAGACAGAAGAAATAAACTTAACTTCTAATTTGTGATAAATTTGTGCCGGAGAGTGAGATAGATTATAATAGAGAGGTAGATTTACTCCGAAATAAGAAATTTTGTGGATGGGTTCCTTGACGTGTTTCCTTTGCAGTGAACACCACGGAGCTGCAACACACAAGGATTTTTCCCGACTTTTTCCCAAAATAACTGTGTTCAGCAGAGGCCCCCTTAATCTTTGTTAATCCTTGCTGGTTTAAATAGTATTCTGGCTTCAAATTTTAATCTTATGCATAGTAATTGTTGGCCCCTCTACCCATCATTGAAATGGCTATGCATTCCTAATGAAACAGGGATATTATAATATTAAAACTACACTATAAACAGTAAGTAGGATAGCCTTTGTAAAAGATTGCTAAAATCCAAATAATTAAATGGTGGATAATTTAATGTTTTGCCTAAATATTTTTTTTTCACTTACATAGACTTAACTTACACAATGATAATTACTTTGAAGGTATATTTTGGCACAAAATGATCACTTGCCTACTATCTCTGAGATTAAGTTATTAAATTGCTTGGTCTATGTTAAAAAAAAGAGAAAGTGTTCAGATATGTCAGCCAATATAAATATGCAGATTTCAGACATCTTTATGTCTAAATCAATTTGAATTATAGAAAGTTCTAACATTAGAGGTAGTGAAGTTGATCCAATCATAGATTTTAAAAAGTTTTATATATATATATATTTCCATTATGCACATATAATGTTCTACATGTAAATATGTTTATGTATACTTATATATGTTTATGTTATCCATCCTATTATGAATATAGACCTTTCCTGTTTTTTTTATAGTTTCACCTGTAATTTTATGGCAATTGCTGAGACTTAATTTTCAGGAATGCATTGGCTATTCATTTGAGTTTTAAATTTTATATGGACTATATGGTGGAGAAAACTCAATTTTATCACACACACATACAAATAAAGATCTGTGTGTGTGTGTCTGTGTCTGTGTCTGTGTCTGTGTGTGGTTTATGGTACAGCTGAACAAAGAGTACTATTGTTGTTTGAATGACTGTGTCATTTGCAAAAAATATTATAGAAGTTAAGATGCAAAATTGAACTAATTAAGATTTCAATACTTCCCTTTGGGAGCTTGTATAATAGTCAGATGTGGCTATAGGAGTATAGAAAATGATTCTTAATACTAAACAAGTTATTTAAATTTATCTGATTATTACATGATCCTTCAGGGAATCATATATTTTAAAAATTAGACTCTGTAAACTTTCCCTATAGGCATAACTGCCCAGATTTCCAGCTGTTGGACCTCAGAATTGTTTTCTCTTTGCAATATGAACATGCTTATCTCTCAGTTTTTCTCATCTGCATACTATTTGAATTATGCCTTCTTTCCGGCAAAGGGTGCGTTCTGTGAAAGGGTAATCATGTTATATTGAGGAAAGGATGAAAATGAAGATAAATAATTTCTTTATAATCCCAGATTCGTCCAGAAGAAAAAAGGGAACCTTGGATCAATTATTTTTGCTTTGATTTCTTCTGTCCAGGATCTCTGAGTTTGTTTTCTGATGCAGATATCAAATATATGCAAATAGCAGCTGTCTATATAATTTGCTTTTTTTTTTTAAATATCTGTAGCCTGTAATTCAACATATCTAATCTGAGATCCGTTTTCCCTAAGGTGTAGAAGTTTGATTATCTACATTTACAGCCCTAGCTTAAGAAAACACTTCACACTATTATTCTTTATTAAACATATTTAGTTTATTTAGGGAATTTTTTAAAAAATATATAGTAAAAGGTACACATGGCAGAAATATGGCTCTTTTTTTATATTCCCCTTCCTCTTCTTTTTCTGTTTCCCTCCTTCCGCCTTCCCTTCACTTAGCTTTCCATCTTCTCTCTTTTTTCTCTTTCTTTTTTTTCATCTCTTTATTTATGTTACTTCAGAAATAATTTCACTCTCTCACGAATTCTTATTTGACCCCTGGCAGTTATCATTCACTTTACGCTCATAGTTTCTGCTCTTGTACAAAAGTGTCCATTCAATTCTTTTCACTGTCTGTGAACTGCTGCCATCAAATTACAATCTAATCGCAAGGTGAACAGCTTATAATGTATCACAATCAATACTCAAAATTTGCTCCCTAGGGTGTGACATAAAAGAGCCAAGCAAAAAGCTGCAGATTTTCAGCAGTAAAGTGCAAACAATCATTTTATGTTGATGGTTTCAAATTCAATGTCGATTTACACTTTCATATATCTGCATTATTCTATCTCTTTCATTCTCTTCTTAAATTCATATTGAATTTATTCAGTGCTAGGCTATTTAAATGGCCGAAATTGAAGGCCAGTCAATATTGGAATATAAAACTATGTTAGTATGTTTCAAGAAGAGTATATGGGTTGTAAAGGAAGTTTTTTAAAAATTATCTCTCAAAGATACAAAAGTATTGCCAAGAAAAATAGGTAGTAGAGTTTTGTACTGCGTTTTTGAAGGATAAAATTGATTTAATGAAATGATGCATACTTTTTTTCTAACACTTACTGATGCAGATAGGTAATTTTTATGATTCCCACTCAGAATATGTAAAGAAAATAAATACCTAATATTTAACTTTTCTGGATATTCTTTTGTTTTTGAGTCTGGGTGAATAGTTCAGTTTGAGACTACATTTAAGCATTCTTGGCTGCATTATATAATAAACAACATATTTCATTCACTCACAGGTAAATATATTTTTAAAAATATGACAAAATTGAAGTAGAGGCGAGCTACTTAAAGACTTTTTGAACATTTTGCTAGTGTGCATGATACATGCTATGAAATACCACAGTATTTTTATTTTAAGACACCATTTTGATTCCTTTCTAAAAAATGTTAGTCTCATATGAAATTATTCTACCCTAAAACCTCATGAGATAAATCAAGTTGTGGTTTATTTATTTTTTCTTTTTTGGAGAGGGAATTATTTATGTGTTCTAAACATGAACTCAGATTTTATTTTTGACTTTGAAAAGTAACGATATAAATTTACACTGCTATTACATTTGTTCTTTTAAATATTTTTCACGTGAACTCTTTTTCCTTGCACAAGACACTATAATTTTGTAGGGATCCTCTCATATCAATGACATGGCAATCCCAAGAGTTCTAAATGTGTAGGAAATTCTCTTCCCATCACATACAACTAAATTGTAAATATCCTCTCCTGAAAAAGAAAAAGTCCCTGATTTACAACGTATCATTAGACATTAAAGGTAACAACCATTTGTGGATGAAAGGACCACTGGGAAGATATCATTCAAAGTTATAGTTTAAAATATCGAGGTCATGGATAGATGCAGCTGTTGACATTTTCTTTCATGTTTTCTTGCTCAACATCTATTAAAATAGGAATTATTAGAGAATGCTTCATTTAGATGTTCTATATGCTTACTGGCAAAAGAGAGAAGTTAAAATTCTCACAGAAAGCATTATCATTTAAAATAAGAAATCACAATTTGTCATTCATTCTGAACTCCCTCTGTTGACTAAATTCATTTTCACCTACTAATACCAAAAACAGAAAGCTGAAGTGAAGAAAAGTGATTACATGATCCATACCTATATCTAATAAAACAAGAATGCACACTTTTTGACAAGCTATTCATAACACATTCTGATAGAAAATTCCATTTGCTACTCTCAGTAGGAATAGTAGGCTTTTAAAGGAAACCTTTTATTTTATGACTGTCACCAAAATAACAATTACAAGCAAAATGAGGATAAAACATGGGGAAAAAAAGCAGCTTATAGCTTGTTATAGAACTTTGCAATCCAGTTTTTGCCCTGTTATTTGATTTGAAACATTAATCCTGGCAATCCTTTTTGAAGTTTACTGTTTCCAGGATGGGTTATATAGAACAAAGACTATCTGATATCCTCAGGAAATTAGTTTACAGCGATGTGCTATTCTACTGAGAATGATTCTCCAATGGCCACTTTTCACTTCTTCTGATGCTATGGGAATTCGTTAATACCTAGAGAATAGACTTAAATAAAACCATTGTCTCAACCAGCGGGTTTATGCAACCATCCTGAAATGTTTTAATTATTGTTTTCTTTTCCTTTTTAATTAAGAGACCAGAGGTCAAGCAAGCCCACTGAGAGTTGGTGGCAGCCTTGGTAGAAATGTAGCGGAAACCCTTATGATTGGATGTGCTGTTTTCTCTTTTG